AGCTAATGTAAGGCCAGCACCTTCAGCTTGGGAAGCCTGGTCACATCTCAGCAGGTAAAGCCAATGTCTGCAGCAGAACTTGGGCTGCCAGGCCCACAGCAAGACCCTGAACAAGGTATCTCCCTCCCCAGAGCTCACCTAGATATTCAACTTGCATATTTTCAGGAGAAAGAACCAATCATTCCCTCTCATCTCAGGGAGAACTTGATAGCTCAGCTCCATCAGCCTTCTAGGAAAGGCCATCAGAACAACACATTGGACACTTCCACCTGCCTGACTGGTCAGAGGAGAAGCAGGGATGGAAAAGCTATCTGGACATCTCAGACTCTAAGCTCCAAGATTGGGTTTGATGTTAATTTGTCTCATTTTTTGCCTGAAGTCACCCATCATGAGTCTTGTCACAGATGGTTGTGGCACTTGATCTGCCAGCTCACATACACATGTCCTGTTTCATCAGGAACTATCAGCTCAGAGCAGAGGATAATCAGATACTTTAGTCCATGCTTGGTTTCTTCAAAAAGATCACAAGATAAGAGTAAAATTAACTCAGCCCACGGTGAGGAAAAGATCCTCAGGTTACTCACAATTTCATGGGTTCACCACCTTCTGCAGAGCTGCTGCAACATCTATCCAGAGAAGATCTACCTGTTTCTCCACAGGTTGATAATCATAGAACCATTTTGGTTGGAAAAGAGCTTTAAGTTCATCCAGTCCAACCCTTCCCCCAGCCCTGCCCAGGCCAGCCCTGCCCCATGTCCCTCAGCACCACATCTACACGGCTTGGAAACCCCTCCAGGGATGGGGACTCCAGCCCTGCCCTGGGCAGCCTGGGCCAGGGCCTGACAACCCTGGCCAGCAAGAAATGCTGCCCAACATCCCAGCTCAGCCTCCCCTGGCACCACTGCAGCCCATTTCCTCTTGTCCCATCCCTTGTTCCTGGGGAGCAGAGCCCAAATCTTGATCAAGATTCAAGGGGCTTTACAAAAAAAGCCCCCAGCACTGCTGGAAAACTCTTCCCTTCTCTGTTCTTCCTTTAGGACATTTCAGGTAAATACAATTTTATAGATATGTGTATATATATATAAAACCTCCATCATGATCCATTTCAAAGTAGCTGCCTCACACCAAGGCACTGAGAGCCTAATTTGAAATAGATTATGCAAAGAAGAGTTGAGATACTCTCTCCCCCCACCACATCAGCACAATTCTGTTTGCTCTTTGATGCAATTAAGGGACAATTCAAATATGAGCAGGAAGAAAAAAAGAAATGAGGTATGATGGCTCATTAGCAAATCTATTAATTCAGTTATAACCAGCTACAGAACATTGGGTTGCTAGAATTCAATCCTAGAATGGTGAAGGTTGGAAGGGACCTTGAAGATCATCCAGTCCCAGCCCCTGCATGGGCAGGGACACCTCCCACCAGCCCAGGCTGCTCCAAGCCCCATCCAACCTGCCCTTCAACACTGCCAGGGATGGGGCAGCCACAGCTTCTCTGGGCAACCTGGGCCAGGCTCTCACCACCCTCACAGCAAAGAATTTCCTCCTCATGTCTCACCTCAATCTCCCCTCTTCCAGTTTTAATCCATCCCCCTCATCCCATCTCTCCCTGCCCTTGTCCCAGGTCCCTCCCCAGCTTTCCTGGAGCCCCTTCAGACACTGGAAGCTGCTCTAAGGTCTCCCTGGAGCCTTCTCTTCTCCAGGCTGAACACCCCAACTCTCCCAGCCTGGCTCCAGAGCAGAGCTGCTCCAGCCCTCCCAGCATCTCTGGGGCCTCCTCTGGACTCTCTCCAGCAGCTCCATGTCCTCCCTGTTCAGAGGACTCCAGAGCTGCACACAGTTCTCCAAGTCCTCTACCAAGACCTGACATCCCAAGTGCCAAACTAGGCTGCAGTCATTGTGGGATCCCACAAGGAGGTGTCAACTTTTTTTCAGAACATTTGAGAACATGGGGCAGGGAAGTTTCTTTGCTAAAACACTTGCAAGCCTTGCTGAACAAAACCTGAAAAAAAAAGCTATCAAAAAAACCACCAAAAAAACCCCCAAAACCAAACCAAACCAAACCCACACACCAAAAAAAACCCAACAAAAAAAATACACCTGACAAGCCAAATAAAGTCCAAGCCCAAAATACACTTCTGAAAGCTGGAAATCCTTTAGGAAATCATTGTAGCTGACACTGGTTAATACATTTAATCACCTTCAACCATTTCTTTAAACATCACCCTCTCTCAAGCCACTGAACAAGCAGCTGATTTATATAGGAACTAAGAAATCAGAGCCTGACCTTTGAGTTTTCATTACTCAGGGAGATGTGGCAACAAAATATTGCTAAAAGGCCAAGATAATTTATTGTGCTGAGTCTTAATTTTCTATCTCTTCTTGCAAATTCATTCACCTCTTGTAATTTGAGGCCTGCAAGCACAAAACAGGTTATTTTTAGCTCTTTGGGAGAGAACTAAGAGGAACTCCAGGGTAAAACACACAGTTTTCTTGCAAATAGTCACATTCTTGAAGAGATCAAAAGCATCTGGCTGCCATGTGATGGAACCAGCTTTGATCTGATGTTGTCTCCTCAGACTTCAGAGGGGATAATTATTGGGCTCTTAGATTATTTTGTAGTCTGACTGTAAATGTCTCATCCCTCTTTGCTCTACAGCTGCATTAACAATTCATCAACATGAAAAAGATGCCAGTCTTGCAATAAAACACTAACAGGCAGTTTACAGCCAGTTAAATAAACAAGCCTGTAAAACTCCAAGGAAACACCCATTTGGATCCAGCCAAAGAAGACAAGAAAACCACCCATTAATTATTCTCTTGATGAGCTCTAATGACTACATGAGAAAACTTGAGTGTTTCCTATTGGTGAGGGTGGATTCAACAAATCACCAGTTTCTGAGCAAATGAGGAGCTCTGATCTATTGCTCTGGAAAGAGAGATGTGAGGGGATTGGTGTCATCTCCTCTCCAGTTCACTCGTGTCATTTCTTTTCAATCCTTTGAACATTTTCTGGTCCTAACAACACCAGCTTAGATGAACATGATGTTTCATGTGCAGGTCAATGTCACAAATGACTGTTCTACTCATGCAAGTAAGAAACCTTCATCAAATCTTAAGCTGCAGCTACTTTTTAGACATTCCTCTGTCCTATGTTTGTGAATTCCTCGTGAACGTGGGTGAACAGAAACTTGGAGTAAGCTTTGAGCTACAAAATGGGTGAATACACCCCAAATTTTCAGGTTTCCCCATGGAACTGTGGCATCTTTCACCTTTCTGGAGTGTGAGGTCCATGCTGAGCACTACCTTGGCATCCTGTCTTCTCTTAAATCATGGCATGGTTTGGGATGGGACCTTCAAGATCATCTAGATCCAACCCCCCTGCATGGGCAGGGACACCTCCCACCAGCCCAGGTTGCTCCAAGCCCCATCCAACCTGCCCTTCAACACTGCCAGGGATGGGGCAGCCACAGCTTCCCTGGGCAACCTGGGCCAGGCTCTCACCACCCTCACACCAAAGAATTCCCTCCTTATCCACCTCAATCTCCCCTCTTCCAGTTTTAATCCATCCCCCTCATCCCATCCCTCCCTGCCCTTGTCCCAAGCCCCTCCCCAGCTTTCCTGGAGCCTCTTCAGGCACTGGAAGCTGCTCTGAGGTCTCCTTGAAGCCTTCTCTTCTCCATGACATGTACAGCAGAAGTTGCAATGAAACCAAAGCCTTATGCAGCACAGATTGAATGCAGGGAGAATTTTTTCTAAAGCTACAGGAAAGGATTTAGTTTCTGACCACATATTTCTCATGAAAATTAATGGGAGGTTTGTATCTATCCATGCATTAATGTACAGAATGATCCTCCAGCCACAGCTGCTCTTAACAGGAGATATTTCAATTCATTGTTGGGGTGAAATATCAGTGGAATTTATTTCTCCCTCTCAAACAACAATTAGTCACCTGCTGCACACTAGATTTGAAATCAATGTGTTCCAGCCAGGCAAATCAAAGTCTACTGCCCAGCAACTTACCTGCCTTTTCAGTATTTGATTCTTTATCATTAAAACAATTCTACAGTCAATGAAGTGCTACAATTATCAAGTCACACTTATTTTGATCCAGTAGAAAACAATGTATTACATCAATGTTCCTAAAAAACTAGAACTCAACCCTCCATCACCAGTAATTATTATATTTTGTTATGGCTTGATGAAAGGATATTGTTCTACAAGCAGGGAATATCCTATAATCCAAATTAAGGCTCTATTCACTAAGTATTTATCACACATAAGCTTTAAAGCCAGAATGCACAATGAACAGCACATTGAAATATGTTATTGTTTGACTAAGTATTAACTCTGTCACTCTTCAGATCTGACTGAATCACACTAATGTGCTCTGCTATTGTGCAGGGGTTTAAAGAAGGAAGAAAGGAAAAAGGCAGCTATTAGATTTAAACCTGTTTCAGATCCTATTAATACTTGCCGTGAGGAAGGTGCAGTTCTGTCCAGAGAGCACTGCCATGAGATGGAACAGAATCAATCACCAAGGCTGGAAAAGACCCTGAAGATCATCAAGTCCAGCCTATGACCACAGTGGGAAAGCTCAGAGCATTGCTGCTGAGAGAGGATTCCCATGGATTTCCTGGGGCTTGTGTTAAAGAGGCGAGAAGATGCTAAATCCATGGATTTTTCTTATCTTATCATCTTGATAAAAAGCCTGATTTTCAACCCACTGTGCTTAACATCACAGACAACAGAGACCTCCATTGCAGTGCTAAAAATGAGGCTTCAGGAAGGAGAAACAAAAGGGAAAGGACCAGACACAAAATGCAACACCCGCTACACACAAAGATTTCCAGGACCCTGTTTCAACAGCTTCAAACACCTGATCGGAGCAGAGAAGGGTCTTGCCCAGTTGGCAACCATTTGGAGTTGAGGAAATGAAGTCATGCTGACAAAGGGAAGGTTGCAAAAGGTTGTTGGGAAAGGAAAAGTGCTGGACTCACCCATCACGGAGAGCTCGGCGGAGCCGCTGCTGTTCTCGTTCCGGTAGGTGACGACGCACGTGTAGGTCCCCGAGTCGTCGTCGGTCACGTTGGAGATGAGCAGGTTACTGCCAGCCAGCAGGGAATATTTTCTGGACCTGAAAAATGGATAAGACATGTCCACAACCTGGTCAAGCATTCTATCTACCTGAAAAAATACCGAGAGGAAACGATGCTGTGAGAGGGGAGATTGAGGTTGGACATGAGGAAGGCATTCTTTGGTGTGAGGGTGGTGAGAGCCTGGCCCAGGTTGCCCAGGGAAGCTGTGGCTGCCCCATCCCTGGCAGTGTTGAAGGGCAGGTTGGATGGGGCTTGGAGCAGCCTGGGCTGGTGGGAGGTGTCCCTGCCCATGCAGGGGGGTTGGATCTGGATGATCTTCAAAGTCCCTTCCAACCCAAACCAGTCTGGGATTCTATGAAGTAATTCTCAGCTGAGACCTTTGTTGTTGATGGCTTTTCACTTGGATTTGAAATCCCAGCCAGCTGACAGTTAGGATGAAATTCCACCCTTGGATTCAGTGCAGAAATGAGTTATAGCAGCAGGTTAAGAGACATGTCCAGTCTCATTATTATTATTATTAAGGAAGAAAAGCCCATAGTCTCCAAACCATCTTACTGAGCTTCAAGCATTAATCAGTGGTTTGTCTCTATTATGTTCAAAGAAATGAAGCATTTGAGTCATAGAGATACCAGGGCTGGTGGGCACCTCTGAAGATCATCTAGTCCAAACTCTTCTGCTAGAGCAGGGTCACCTGCAGCACATCACATCCAGATGGGTTTGGAATGTCTCCAGAGGAGGAGACTCCACAACCACCCTGAGCAGCCTGTCCCAGGGCTCTGTCACTCTGCTGTGGAAGCCATGAAGGATGGAGCTACCTGATGGGGAGCACTTCATCTCCTCGTAGCCACGTGAAGGTGGGAGGGGGGTACCCAGAAACACAGCACTCCAGGACAGCATCCTTCCCCTCCATGGCCACCACGTTTGATGGGCGCTGCAGGAAAAACTGCTGCCTGTGCAACCCTGGATCTAGGAGAGGAAAAGAAACAGCTGTCATCCCTAAAAGGAAAAAAAAAACAACACCACAACAAATCCAAACAAAACAACATCCTTGTTGTTGGGAATATCAAAATGACTGACCAATAATGGACCCAGGAGACCAGGGCTCCTGGGATAAGTAAAGAATGAATGGTACATCTAAAAAGTGTATCAAGTGGTGATGTTAGAGCTGCTTCCAGGTGGAACCCAAGGGAGCAATTTGAAGGCAGAAAAATACCAGCTCTTGGGAAAGTGAGACAGGACTGTTTCTAGCCTGGTGTTAAAGACAGGGCTCAGGAAAATGCCCCAGGAAAAGGCACAGTCATGGCAGGAGAAGACAGAGATATCCATGAGTTTAAGAGTGGTACTGGATTAACAACACTATTGTGGAGTTGCAAGGGGGAAGTTCATGAATATGGCAGGTGAGAGAAGAAAAGGAAAGCTCCACATTGGGAGAACACAGAAAGGAAAGAATGAAAGAAGTGGAAAACCTTGAACTGAGAAGGAATAAGTAGGTTGATTCGTGCCCTGAATTCTCCTTTGCCCAACTGAAGGTGTCCTTGGGGACAACCCCCCTGCAGGTGACAAGCTAGATGCAAATTCCCCCCATATTGTGCCTGAAATACCAGCAAACAGAACCACATGCCAGGGAAATCAGTTGATTTGTTTGCTTTTCACAGCACCTGTTCTTCTCCTTGCAAATGACTTCATTTCCTTGTCACAAATGTTGAACCAAATGTGCTGGACTCCAGCCATGCTCCTTGTTTCCTGACACAACCACCCAAATGACACAAGAGAACTGAATATTCCCACCCAATGAATATTCCCACCCAATTAACAACTACGAGATCTTCCAGAATCATCTCCAAGTAATTAGTTGGATGCTGCTCCAACATTCTGCTCCAAGATTCTGCTCCAAGCAGCAACTGTAACTGGCTCTGTGGCTTCACGATGGGTTTCCAACAGCAGCAGGTTTCAACTTCTTGCTGCAACCAGATGGGGACCCAACTTCCAGCCATCAGGAGGTCCAACTGATGCACAAGTTCCACACACACCAAGAGTTGCAGTCTGGGAAGGCATCTTGGCTGAGCACAGTTGGTCTCTGAATTGTGTGGGAGCTGTTGCAATAACCTCAAATACCCATCCTACCTTCATATTTGCCATGAAAAACGAGGTAGCTGACTAGAAAAGGGAAGAGTTGGTGGTGTTTTCAACACCCACCAGGTGCCCAAAGGTGGAAGTGCAAAAGCAGAAAGGAAACCAAATCTGTAGAGTACCCAGATCTTAGGTGGGAATGTCCCCCGTGAAGAGCACTTAGTTGTGACACCACATCTGATTAAAGTCATGAGGATGGAAGATGTGAGCAGCAGCAAGAAGTGCAGCAGTACAAACACAGGGAACATGACATCAAATGAAGCTTAAATTGGAAGTCAGATGAAGATGATTAATAATTGAAACCACAGGCTTTACTAGAATACATCTGGCTGAGCAGATTCTTCCAATACATTCAGAAGAAGTGGGATTCCAGAGGTGGTGTGGGCTGGATAGTAGACAAAGCTGCCAAATCCAACCCCAACTTGAGTGGCTCAAGATACATTTCTGTTCTGTGCTTGGGAGAAAAAAAAGCAGGGAAGGAAAATTCATGTTTTCCAGTGCTGTGACATCTATTTTTTGTTGCACTGGAAACAATGGTCATGAGGCATCACTACTTCTTGAGCTCCACCAGTGAAAATCTTCTCATTAGAACTCTGTCCACAACCTGCAGAGCAGTTAATAACTTGAAGGCAACACCAAAGCAGCAACCACGTGGCCAAGCAAGAAGATTGCCTGTGGGTTTTTACTCCCCACCTGGAATTTGCCTGGCAAAGTGTTGGATGTTCCTGAGGGGTTAGAATGGGCTGAACTTCCCAAAAAAGTGTTGGCATTGAAGCAGGGACAGAGCAAGGCCAAGGTTAAACCAAGAGGACACCAACTGCTGAGGATGGGAAGGGGGAGGCACCATCCAACACCAAAGTGGTGCTCAGAGCTTGAGGGAATATTGGCAGATGACAGAGGATAGACTAAGAGCCTGGAAATTGTTATTAATATTCATTTTAGGGTTTCTAAAATGGACCACAAAAATGCTTTAGCCTAGAATGGGTTTCAAAGGGGGTTTGTATTGAATGGGGAGCAACAAATCCTTTCAGTAGGAGAAAATACCATGACTACACATCCCTGGAACTTAGCTCTGCTTTTGTCCCCACTAAAGCTTCCACTGACTAAGAGTTTCTCTTGCTTGTTTCTCTTTCCAACATTGATTCCCATTTAGGATGGCTCCTTTTTGCCTCCAGCAGCCACGTGTGCCTGTAGCAGGGCTGGCTGCTGCTCCCACCCTCTGCAGAGCCCTTCTCTTGCCTGCTCTTCATCATTTCCACCTCTTGCTCCATTCAAGACACACAAAGGGAAGCCTCAGCTTCTGTCTGAGCTGGTCTGAAGTCTCTCATGACCGAGCTGCAAGCTGAAAAGGTGGCATCTCCTCTTTGTTCCCATCAAATGCAGCTCAAAAGTAGATGGAAACCAAACAGTCGCTCGTTGTGAATCAACGTTTTTGCTGCTTCATTCCCAGCTGAACAGAGAGCCCAGGGTACAGCCAGAGATGGAAATGAAAGCCAAGTAGAGGCCTTAAGTATCTGCTACAGGAAGGCAACAAGAAGAAAATACCTAATTATTTTTAAAAAGCAATAATAGAATCCATCTCAGAATGGTCAGGTGAAGAATTTCCTCCTTATGTCTCATCTAAATCTCCCCTTTTCCAGTTTTGATCCATTATCCCTTGTCCTCTCACTCCCTGCCCTTGTCCCAAGCCCCTCCCCAGCTTTCCTGGAGCCCCTTCAGGCACTGGAAGCTGCTCTAAGGTCTCCCTGGAGCCTTCTCTTCTCCAGGCTGAACACCCCAACTCTCCCAGCCTGGCTCCAGAGCAGAGCTGCTCCAGCCCTCCCAGCATCTTCATGACCTCCTCTGGAGAGTTGCTCTTTCCC